GGAGGGTCCGCGCGCCCCCTGGCTGGCAGCCCTCGCGGGACGGCGGGCCGCCGCAGAAGCGCTCCCGCGGGCGGGCCTGGGGCCGGGCGCCTGCTCCGTCGCGCTCCGCCGCCGGCCACGTCGCCCTCCCGGGAGGGCTGGCCGAGGCGCGCGTCGCACAGGCGCTGGCCGGGATCGGAAAGCAGCGCGCCTCCCTGCCGCGTGTGCCGCCCTGGTGGAGCGCCCGCCGCAGCCCGCCCGCCCGCCCCGACGGGGCATGGGAGCCGCCCGCCCGGCCCTGCGGGGTCTTTCCGCGCAGGCTGCGGACACCCCTGCCCGGCCTCCTCTCCCGGTCAGCGGCGTGGGAGTCGCCTTCCGCGGGGCAGCGCCTTCCTGGGCTCCGCTCTCCAAGGGCTCCTCCGGCGGCTCCCCGTTCCTGAGCAGCTTGGGAGCCGCAGCCTCTCGCTCAGCCTCGCGGGCGCCAAGCGCCAGCTTCGCTCGCTCGCTCGCTCGCTCGCTCTAATTGTCCCTCGCTCGACGCGGGCAGAAGGCGCCTAGCAGGGAAGCCTGCGCTTGGGAGAATGGCCTATTTATTCCCAGCGATTGAGAGACACGCGCACAAGTGGATCCTTAAATCACTTCCATAAATACAAGCAAAGCCCCTCGCTGTGTCCCCAGCTTTCAGGCCGATCCGAGGCAGACGCGAGCTGAAATACAAAGGGAATTATTCACTGAGCAGCAGCTTCCGCTCCAGCGGCGGGAGTGGAGAGGCTGCGCAATCCCAGGGGCACCGGGAGTGCCGCTCCCGCCTCAGGCAGGGCCGGGGGCGCGGGCGCGGGCGGCCTTCGGTCCACGGAGCGCCAGACCCCTTTCCTCGTGTCTCGAGCGCACTCACCTCCGTGCAGTGGAACTTTCCTCTTTCTTACCTGCTCTCCTCCTCCTCTTGCATGTGAGACCGTTTTAACAGCTGGGTTCTGCTAAGGGGTGTTCTTGTTTGTTCTCTGGCTTTTTAAATAAACCTCCGTGTAACGGAGGTTATGCAAACACCCACAAACACGCGGCCAGAGGCACACGCCGTAGGCCTTCTACTCCGCATTAATTAATCCGGAATAGGTACCACTTTCTCTCGACCCACAATGAGTAGCGGGGTGTACATGCCATTGCCGTTAGAGTTAAATGTCTGTACTCCGGGAAGGGAAGAGTACCTTGCCACACCTTCTTCCTTCTGACAGACTGGATAAGAGGTATTTAGGAGTAACTATTCTGGCTTAAGTAACCTTGAGTGTAATTCTATTGAGTAACTTCCTGCAGATCAGTTATACCAAGGTATCTTCAGAATAATTGCCTTATGCTGCAGGCCAGGCAGTTTCCCAACAGGGACCGCTACTGGAGGCGGGGAGTTCATGCCAGCAAGGATTAAACTAAAATCCCCGCAGGCTCCTACCTCCCGAGGGACCCCGGCAGAGTCGCAGGAGTTGCATGGGATGCCTGACTGTCCTTTCCTAAGAACCATGCAGTTAAATTGCCTCGAGCTTCTCCTTTCTCTGGATGCCGGGGGTGGGCGTCCTTTTGGGAAGCAGTCAGAAGAACTGCCTGAAAAAGTACTCCGCGGGGCCAGGCACTTCGCCCTGCGTGCTTAGCAGGTCGCCGGAGGGTGAGCCAGGGAGAGGCCTCTGGGATCCCTTCTCAAGAGCGGAGGGAATTGCACGATTTCTCCCGGGCTTGGAGACCTCAGGAGAGGACACGATGCCTTCCCACCCGCGCGGGGTAGATCAGCCTTCCCTAACCTGGGGCCTTCCGGAAGTGAGGAACGGCGGGGCGCATCACTCCCAGAAGAATGGGAGCTGAAGTCCCAGCAGCCCTGCAGGGCACCAGGTTGGAAAAGGCCGATCCACGCGCGCCAGGAAGGTGAGAGAGAGGGTACCAGGCTGAGACAGGCTTCTGCAGGCAGACCAAGGATATGCACGCTGCTTAAACACGACTCCTGCTCCTGCTTTGCCCCGGGGCAGAGAGAACCTCGGGGCGCCGGAGTGCTCACAAACGAGCAAATGAAGGGCGAGGGGGAAAGGGAAGCGGCCGCCAGCGCCCAGCGGAGCGCAAAGCGCGCCAGCCCTCCAGCCTGCGCGCACTTACCGAGCAGCAGGGCCCCCATCAGTGCGGCTTACTTCCGAGTAGACATGGCCAGGTGGCTGCGCTGCAAAGCTGCGCTCCTCCTCTCCCTTGCTCGGAGCATCAGCTGAAACTTGCAGGTCACCCTGAGCTGCGCTCCGAGGGATTCCCTCCAGCGGAACCAGTTCGAATGACTTCTCTTTCCCTAACTTTCTCTCCAAAGCTCAGAGCCCCCCCACCACAACGTCTTCCCCCTCCGAAAAGACGGAGGAGAAAAACCCTTCCAGCCGACCCTTCGCTACTCGAGACAGAAACCCGCTACTAAGTCGATTTAAGATGGAGCAGCAGCCAGAGAGACCGACAGAGATTTGGAGGTGTGCGGTCGCAATTAGCTGCCTTGGAAGAAAAGGACGTGGGAGAAAGGCGTTGTCCCGGATTACCCGCAAAGTTAGCATTTCTGCCCCCAGAACTAGGCAGGTCCTCGCAGGTTTTCCCTGACAATGCTGCTCCGTCTCCCCCGCAGTCGCCGCGTCCTGCTTCATCTATTTCGGTTCGGGGTTAACAAACCCCGCGTCCACGCGCATTGACCGGCGTGAGCGAGAGATGGATACTGAAACTCCGGCGGAGGGGAGGGCAAGGGGCGACGAACGATCGGTGTCCTTTATTGATAACCGCTCCCTCCCGTATTTGTTTCAAGCGTCCTCGGAGAGAAACTTTCACTGCCAGGCTAATAATGCTCCGTCGATTCTCTCTTAAAGGAAGGACGAAAGTCTTTCATTCAAGGAACAATCGAAGTATAATTTACAAGACGAATATCCGAGAATTATGAACAGGTTTAGCAGCGACGATTACTCCGTACGTGGATCTTAAATGCTGTCTTGGGACTGCGCCCCCATAGATTTCAATGTGATCTACAGCCCCATCCTAACTAAGCCTGTTTACTCAACAGTAAATCCTACTGAATTCCATGGGTTTTTCTTCTAAATAAACAAGATTTTTATTATTATTATTGGGGAAGAGGGTCCGGGCAGTTAAGTAAAGTAATCCAACACAGTGACCAGGGAATCTTACTTCCGAGGCAACGCGTTTCACCTCCGGGCGCGTGCGCGCGCGCAAAGAGGGAGACGCGCGCCTTCTGGGCAGCCCTTTCGCTGCTCGCCCCTGGGCAAAGGACGCGGCTGCCCCGACCCCAGCACGGTCGCCAGGGGACAGTTAGGGCTGCAGCAGGCGCTGCTTCAATTCTGGGCTTAGGTGCTGCGTCCTCTTTCATTTCATTTCATTTCATTTCATTTCATTTTTAAGTCTAGGCTAGGTGCAGGGGGCCTGATCCGGATCTTAAAAGCTTCCCCGCTGCGCGCCGCGCCGGGTTTCCGATCCGGACCGGGAAGCCTGCGTCCATTCTAGAGGAAGAAGGACCAGATAAAATCGAGTAAGACCAAGCAGACGCCGTTGCCAGACCAAGACCTCAAGCGGCGTCGGGCCGGGGGCCTTGCAGCCGCCTCCTGCGCGCGTACTCCTGTTGCAGCGAAGCTTCCCCGAGCTCGGCCGACGGCTTGCGCCGACGTGTTCAGGACGGGGCTGGGCAACGCTCGCGGGCCCCGGGGAGGCCGCCCCCCGGCCGCCCGCCCCCCGGCGCCCTGGCTCCGGCGATGGCGCACGCAGAGCGCTCGCGGCTCGCCCAGGCGTCCCCGCCGTGCCGGGGCGAGCGGGGCGAGCGGGCGGCCCGCCCAGCGCTCGGGCGGGGAGAGAGCCCGTGGCGGCTGCTCCGCAGACGGCCGGCTCGGTCGCCGGGCTCCCGGGAAGAGCGCCCGCCCCTCTCCGAGCTGGCCGCGGAGCCCGAGCCCGCGCAGGGCCCTGCCACCTGCCTCTCGGGGCGCGGGGGCTGCGGCTCGACTAGACAGAAAGAAGACCGGATTCTGTTCGTTTACATGGATTTATTTGCTGTAAACATTAAAATTGTCTCTCTCTAAAGAGAGAGTATTTAGGGAGAAAATGTCCAAGTCTAACTGCCATATACACCATACGGAGAGTTTTTTGGTGGGTAGGGGAGGCAATGACTTAAGAATGTGCCATACTGGAAATATACAAAGAAAAATATACTACAGAATATGGCATATATATATTTATATATATTTAAAAAAAGCTTTCTTACTGAAACATAAAATAATATATTAACCGACAGTTTTAGACATTTTTTCCAAAAATAAAAATAAAATAATAATAAAATACAAAAACAAACAAACAAAAATCCCCAAATAAAAATTCAAAGTGCTCAATAATTTCCAGGGAGTTCTGAATAGGAGATAACCACTCTGGAAACAGTCAAAAAGCTCGTGCATGCAAGACTGGTTTCGCTTCAGACAACAAAATAATCAAGATATAAACTGTTTTCTTTTAATCAGCTTCAACAATTACATACGACACTTACAAACAAGGAATGCTGGACGGTGTTTACAAACGGGGCTCTGGGTCCCTTTCAGAAAGGTTATTTTTTTCTGAGGAGATTGGGAGAGGTTCTGTCTGGATTTGTGTTAACACGTGTGCCCACCTATTTTACAATTGAGAAAAACGTTCGAGGCTTCTTAGAGAACTACCAATCTTTATAAAATCTAGCAGACTACATAGTGTCTGAAATAACTATTTATAGAATATAGACATTACTGAAATAGCAAGTGCCTATAATAACATGGTCCTCCTAGAATCATCGGGCTTTCTCTTGCTTAGGTCTTGAAACGTTTAGTCCAAACCCCTTCGATTTATTCTCACGATTTCTTTCTTTCTCTCTCACTAAATTTTTAGAATCGGTTTGAATAGCTTATTCATCAATAGGCACAGAATAGGTTTTGTTTTTTAAAAAGAAAGAAAGAAAAAGCCAGACTGCATCTGATAAATGTACAATCCTTTGCCTTCTGTCGATTCATGCTGCCCCCTCTCCCCCCTCCCCCTCCCCCCACCTCAACTTTGTAGTCTATATATTACAGTTTTCCTTTTACAGCAGAAAAACGCTCCAACATCTTAATCAAGGGGGAGGCCTGTGCGTGTGGGGTCCTCTTAACACTCTTGCCTTCAGCAGCAGCTAAGACCGAACCAGGCTCAGCTTTCTAATTCAAAAGTCCTTGTTCATCATCATCATCATCATCATCATCATCATCACCACCACCACCACCACCATAGTCATAGTAATAAACTCTGGGTTCTTGCTTTGCTCGGGGACAAGGGGGGGAGTGAAGGGTACTCTTTGTTTGTGTAGGTGATAATAAAAAACTTGTACCATGGGATCTGTGTGCAGTCCAAGGAACGAGGTCCAAGATGCTCAAAGAGCCCCAGCGGGTGCCTAGTCACTGTTCTCCAGGAGAGGCTAGCCACAGTTTGGAGGGATGGGCGCCCAGCACCCAAAGGTGCTCCTTACTGGCCAGGTGTGCTCTCTGTCTTGCGCTCTCGCTCGCTCGCTCTCTCGCTCTTTCAGGGCCCCTGGATTTGCTCTCTCTCGTTCTTTTTTGGCCTCCCGTGAGGCTGTCAAAGTTCATCTCTTGGAAGGCGCAGCAGCAGAGTCTCTCTCTCTCTTTCTCTCTCTCGGCTTGTTCTTGCTTTTTTCCCCCCTTTCCTTTCCTTTTAAAAAGGTAAAGTGTCCAGGAAAAGTTTGTCAATTATTGCTGGTGGGGGCACCAAGTCTTCCAGTTTCAGGTAGAAAATGCGCTGCAGGCCCTGCGTACAGAGGGTGCGCAGTTCTGGGAGTTTGCCCAGGAGTTTGGACAAGTAATTGGGCCTGTTCAAGCCGCCGTTGTTGAACGTCACGTGGTCCTTGAGGCAATTGACGATCTTGTTTTGGAGCTCTTCAACCCGCTTGGGCTCCTTCAGGCCATGCCTCTCTGGAAGAGACAAGGGGCGCGTTAGACTGGCCGGGGCTGCTGGGGCGATGGGGCAAAGGGCCTTCCGGGAAGACTCCAGCTGCGCATCATTCAATAACAAGAAGATAATCTGCTTTCCTTATGATTTGTGTGGAATGAAATGACCTTTCCTTACTATTTGTTTGGAACGGTTGCCTTTACTTTGTTTTGTTTAGGCCTCCTTTAAGGGTGGGATCCTCTTAGGGCAACATTCAGGACCAAGGCAATACAAGACAGTGCAAAACGAGTACGATGGTAAACCCATCTATAAGTAGTCAACAAAAATCTGAGAAAAAGTTGCTGCTGCAGCTGTAGTTGCAGCTGCAGTGAGGGTGGTTGCGAGCCTATGCCCACTTCCCCAGGATTAAGCCTGGGGAGCTGGGCAAGCAGAGCTGCAGGACCTACGGTTGCCCCGTCATCCTACAATCCTATGCTCAACAACTTGAGTGCCAGGTCCACCCAGTGGGGTCCTTCCCAGTGTGCAAGAAGACAGACCTTGCAGAAGCCACACGAATAGGAACTCCTGCCACACAGTCAGGGAATCTGGGAATTGTAACCCAATATTCCAAGAAGCCCCGACTGCATGGAGAGGGGTCTCCGGGCTGGATTCCCTGTGAGCAACTGGGAGTGTGGGATGGAGAAGTTCTTACAACTGAGAGTTAATGTGACCTCCTGGTAGTTTCGGACTACAGCTCCCAGAATCCCTGACTAATGGCCATGTTGGCTGGTGTTGATGGGAGCTATGAAGCATGACATCCGGAGGGCATCCAATTCCCTATCCCTGCAGATTAATTCAAGCCCAGCTGGAAGGTAACGAGTGCATTCTAATTACCTTAAGAAGTAGGAGAGCAGGATGGGTTGAATCAATATCTCTGCTTATCCCAGAGGAAAAGGCAGCAGCTTGTGGGTGAAGGACTGGACCAGGGAGGGTAGCCCTTGGGATGCTGCCTGGCACTCAGGAGATGCCAGTTTTAGTTCCCACTCAAGCTGTGACTTGGGCCAGGCATGGGCTCTCAGACCAACCAACCTCACAAGGCTGGTGTGAGGATAAAATGGAGAGGAAGGCTGTGTAAATTACCTTGAGCGCTTTGCAGGAAAAATCTCGGGAACAAAATATAACGAATGCATTAATTTGTAGTGGCCAATCCAAATTTGAAATGGAGGTGTGCATGGATACTGTGAATTAGAATAAATAGCTGCAGACGCCTGATCTAAAGGGGAATTCTGACTGGTCTTAGGAACTCTGTGAATTTTTTTTTAGATTTTTCAGCTGAACTGAAAGTTCCGAGCTGTGTAGCTCATGTAGGGATTCTAATCTGCATTCGTCACTGTGAGTGCGGAGCTGGGGGCTTATTTCAAATTAACTAATCTGGAGGGGAAATGGGGGGAAAAGAAAAGATGCCTGTTGAGATAAGGAAGAAGCAGCATGAGGGGAAGCCAAGCGAGAAGGTGGTGCTCACCTGTTACCATGGCCAGAGCAGCAATGCAGGAGAAGGCAGAGATGTCTATATTCATGTTCTGCAGGTTGGAAGAGAACTCCACGATAGAGTCAATCCACTCTCCAAACCCGCGCACGCACTGCAGCCGGTGCAGGACCACTCCGTTGCAGAAGATCAGCTTGCCTTCCACTGGGTTGGACCTACCCAGGGATACACGGGTTGTCCAGAGAGACAGACAGACAGACAGACAGACAGGCGAAGAGAGACAGAAAGAAAAGGCAAACAACTAATTATTCTCCAAGCGATAAATGGAGGGTTTAAGAGGCACCTAATTACCGAGGAGTTAATAAAATGCAGCTCAGCAGACCTTGAACAGCTCCGGGATTCCTCATCAGAAAGGATCACAAAGTGCCTCCACAACGTACTCATACATGTATATCTATATGTTCCCACTTCTTTGACCCCCCCCCCCCCCAGCCCAGCCGGCCCTGCCCGCATACCTGTAGGCTAGCCGCAGGACAAAGAGCTCCAGGAAGGCAGATTCAAAAAGCAGATCCTGGTCTGGTTTGGGGAGATCGGTGAAGCCAGGGATCTTTTCTGCCCAACCCCGGATGATCTCCATGGAGCCGGTCAAGAGATCGTAGAACTGCTGGATATGCTGTGTGTCCTCACCGCTCATCTGATAGTCCGGGTTCGCTTGGAACTGGGATTCCATTCCAAGGAAGATATGGGGGGGGGGGTGGCGGGGAGGGAAAGGATGAAGAATGGAAGGAAAGAGAGAGACCCCAGCAATTTAATGAGGTTCTCTAAAATATATAGCCCGTGAAATTGCTAACCCCATTTCCAGGAGGGGAGCCAGGTTTTTATAACAATTAAACCTCACTCTGGCCAGTAAGGAAATTAGTTGTTCCAGGGCAATTAATTCAATTAGGGGTGGTGCTAGGAGGGGTGGCTGCTTGAAGGGAGGAAATTGCTTTGGCCAGGAAGACTCAGCTGAAAAGGCCTTGGGAAGGTGCCCCAAAGGACTGGCAAAGACAGATCCGAGCAGCTTCCCCCCATCCCGGCCTAGGGAAATGTGAATCCAGAACAGGCGACAGGCACTCTGTGTCCACACACAAATGTGTGTTTCCATGCATGCGTGCATGTGTGTGCCCATGCACACACGCACAAAGGTACTTTTGCCAATCACTATTTTTTTAATTTTTGACTTATTCCGCTATATACACAGCTGTGTGGCTCTACTTTGGGAGCAGTTCTATGGATGGGAATTATTAATGTTTTAATAACTTACAACATTAATAACAAGTCTGTTGGCATCATACCCTACTGGTGACGGAAAAAAGCAGCTCTGGACATTAAGGTGCCTCTCCCCACCCCATGGGAGTGGGCACACGCACACCTGCCCTGACCAGCGCGGCACAGGCTCCATTTCCCAGGAAGCCTACTGAGGCCAGAAGGGCTTGGAGGATCACAGCCTACAGTAACCTCCTTCGGGAATAAGGCCCTGGCGAGCTTCAGGGAAATGCATTCCTTGAGCAAGCTTGCACGGAGTAAATCCTATCAACGTCAAGCAGGCACACCTAAAAGTACATCCGAGCCAGAGTACAAAACAGAAAATGGGGCAAGTACTTTTAAGGGGGGTGTTGCACAGAGCTGTCCCTCTGCGTGCTTCTTTAGAGTCCCACATGCTCGATGGAGCTTACTCCCAGGTGAATGCATCCAGGGCTGCAGCACAGCTCTGCTGTAAGCCCTCCCCACCTACACCCGCCCCCCCCCACACCACATCCCTCAGAGTGGGTGGCTTTTATCGGAGGCCAGTTTCTCCATGGCATCTGCCCCATCTCTCAGAGCAGAAGCTCCTTCCTCCCTGGGGAGCCCCGGCCTTGCTAGGGACTAGCCACGTGTTCCTTCCCTGCAAGGAGGACCCTTAGGTGAATATTGTCTCCAGCTTACCCTGGAATAGTCCAGGCTGGTCATAGCCGGGTTGGAGTCGACATGGGCTCTCACCAGGGCACTGATCAGACTCACCGGAGGTGAGGGGGGAGAAGGCTCCTGGGGGCTCTTCGGCTTCGATGGCAAGCGACCCCTCCGGCCTTTTAAACTGTCTGTGCGGACCACTGCAAGAAAGACACGAGGTTAGCTCTCCTAGCAGCAGCAAGGAGCAGAACAACACATTCCTCCCAGTGGTGATGGGTGCTTTTCTGATCTCTTCCTCACTCTGGGAAGCATCCCTTGCAAGCATGAGGCAGAACACCCAGGAGAGTGAGAGGACTCGTCCCTTTTTCTCAGGCAGGCCCTCCTCCAAGGCCCCATCCCACAGCCCACAGAAATTGCCCTGGCTCTGGGGGACAGACAGACCCCTATTTCAAGTGCTGGGGCTCCGCTAGAACTGACAGGGGGAAGATGCTTGTGCTGGCGGCCTCTAAGCCCAAGCGTGCTGGCAGCCCCTCACAACAGTCCGAGCCTGCCATAGCATTATTCTGCTCCTCCTGGAATCCCTTCCTGCTTTATCTTACACCAGTGGGAAACCCCAGTGGGAATCTGCCTGTCTAGGAAGAGGAGTACTGGGCTCCAGGGTCAGGAGATTATCTTGCAGAGCTTTTTAAAGGGGAGGGAGGAGGCGCAACGATAGTGTCTTTCCACAGACTTATCCACAGCACATCAAGGAGCAGTGTCTGGCAACTCAGTTCAGTGGTGAGCCAGCGGGGTGTCATGGTGAGACTTTCAGCTGGAGACTTGGGAGAGGCAGGTCCTCCTTCCCAGCTGGCTAAAAACCTCACTGGGTGACTTGGGGCCAGTCAGTGACCTGCAGCCTGACCTACCTAACAGGGTCATTGTGGGGAGAAAATGGAGAGGAGGCGGGCCAGGTCAGCCACCTTGGGTTCTTGCAAGAGGAAAAAGGGGAGGGTATAAATACGATCACGAATCCATCTAAGCCCAAGCCTCGGTGGAATTGCTGGTCCAACCAGGCGAAGGAGCAGGCACTTTCCGATGCAGCCAAGGGAGACCGTGTGTGTTTGTGTGTGTGTGTTTGCTTTTTATTTGGGGGTGTCCAAATGGGGGAAATGGCCGCCCACCCACCTACCCACACGCAGGCCATACCTTCTTTGACCATGCCGACTGCAAGGCACTTCTGAAAGCGACAGTACTGACACCGATTCCGGCGGCGCTTGTCCACAGGGCAGTTTTTATTCGCTAGGCAAACATATTTGGCATTTTTCTGGACCGTGCGCTGTGAAGACAGGGTAGGAGGTGGGAGAAAAAGCCTGAGGAATGCGCCACTGGTGAAAGTGCATTTGCAGCTAGGATGTCTCATCCTCCACCATCTTTCTCCCTCCCCCGCCTCCCTCCCCCTCCAGTCCTTCTTCTCTTTCCTAAACATTTAGGAAGACACAAACGGAGGCCCCTTCTTCCTCCCAGCTCAGCCTGCAGGACCCCCTGCCAATGCCTCACATGCCAAGCAGAGGAACAAGGTTACTCTCAGTAAATACAAATCCGTGGGCATTCATACTATTTACATTCCTCGGAGACCTTCTTCTCTTTCAAATGATAAGATTATTCAATCAGGATGTGGGCAGGGGGGGGGGAATAAAGAGATCACTTAATTTGACCATAGGGAATTCTGTTCCACTTGGTTAGCTTAGACACGGTTCTCTGTCCTAACCAATTTCAGTCCGAAGGCGAAAGGAGAAGCACATGCAGATGGAAAGCTCACAGCCCTCTCTGTTTCTGTACATTTCTGAATAAGGTCTTGGCATCTCTCTCTCTCTCTCTCTTCCTCCCTGGGAGGAGGGAGGGAGGGGAATGTTCCAGGACCCCTTTACTTTTTAGAGGGTGTCTTGGACACAATGTACACCTCCACAGACAGCTGGGAGGGGATGAAGACTACACTGACAATGAGCTTTTGCTGTTGTCCCAAGCAATGTCTGCTTCAATATATTCTGCGTAAGAGGGCAGGCCCAAGACAGCACCCAGCGCATTACTAGAAAGGAGCAACTACGCTGAAAACAATTGCCCAAGTTGTGGTATTTGGCGCTCCTGTAATTCCTGCCTGGGACTGTGCAGGTTGGTTCCTGCTGGGACTTGCCTGAAGAGGGGTCAGGAGAAGAAATCTGGACTCGGGAAGCACCTTCTCCCTCCTGTCCATGCACACATCTGCAAGATCACTGAAGAGCTATTCCTGTGCCCACCCATGAAGCACCTTTCTGACCTCTGAGGTCCATGTCTGCACAGTGGCCTGACACTGTCTGCTCTGTATTCATGAAGCAAACGATTTGGAGAAAGAGAGGGCCTCTCTCCCCTTCCCCATATTTACAGAATCATCTGCCAATGTGGTTAATGATTCCACAACCCCATCCAAGCAATCCTGTTCTACTTTGCCCATCAGAGCACCAGGGTAGGCAAAAGGTGCAGAGGAGAGGAGAGGAGAGGAGAGGAGGCTGGGTGTAGCTCTTCTTTCAGAGTGACTGAAGTGTGAGTTGTGGGGGGGGAACACATCTGTGTTCCTTAGAGGGAGCAGAGAATAAAGATAATTTCTGAGACAGGGATAGAAAGATATGGTGTTTCGGAAGGTCCTGCTATTTCCCCTGGCAGAGTAGTGAACATTTCAGGCCTTTTGGGGCAAATGCCAGTACAATATTAAAGGGCCTGGGAGCTACGGAGAAGCAGATTACAGTCTGAGACCTGTACAATTTGAGGCCATTTACACGGCACCTGTCAACATGACCATGATCTGTCTGTCTCTGCCCCTTAAAGGCAAGAAAAAGAAACGAAGGCCTTGAACTAAATTCACATCTGCAGACAGGCAACCAGATGGTGATAGTTATTCTGGAGTAATTAACACGCATGAAAGTGCCTGGTCTTGTGGGCATGTCCCTGATCAGAGGTTGGGCGAAACCACCGATCCCAGCAGAGTTCCTAGTCGGGGTAATCATGGTGGGTTAGTTACCATTCCAGACCGAAGCTGGAAAGCAGAACAGCCTTGCCTAGAGTCTCACGCGGGTCAAGAGGACGGGAGAAGGGGTCCCGACGGAAAGAACGTGGCCACACGGAGGGGAAAGGGGTGCGCGGGGAGGAGAGGGTGCCTCGGCGGAGGGCAGGGCAGGGCAGGGCAGGGCAGGGCAGGGGGCAGTCCGCTCCTCGCCTCCCGCGCACGCTGCGCCAGACACGCGGGTCGACGCGCTCGCTCGCTCGCTCGCTCGCGCTCCCACGCCGGCCGGCCGGGCCAGCGCGGCGGCTCACCTTGAAGAAGCCTTTGCAGCCCTCGCAGGTGCGCACGCCGTAGTGCTGGCAGGCGGCGTTGTCCCCGCAGACGGCGCAGAGGCCCTCGTTGGAGGGCGAGCCGCGCGACGGCGGCGAGGGCACCTGCGCGTCCAGCAGCTGCGAGGCGTGCCCGATCTGCAGCCCCGGGAAGCCCCCGGCGGCGGCGGCGGCGGCGGCGGCGGCGGCCTGCTTGCGGATGGGGCTGGGCAGGGCGAAGGGCTGCCCGTCGTGGTGGTGGTGGTGGTGGTGATGGTGGTGGTGGTGCGCGCCGTGCGCCGCGGGCTCGCCGCCGTTGAGCGGCAGCGCGTGCAGCGCGCCGTCGAAGCGCATCTGGCAGCTGCCCACGGGCGTGCCGGGCGGCGACTGCTTGAAGGAGAAGAGCGAGAGGCGCGGCACGGCCGCCGGGGCCGCCTTGTGCAGCGCGCCGCCGCCGCCGCCGCCCGCCGCGCCCGCCGCGCCGCCGTAGGCCTGCGGGTGGTGCGGGTGGTGGTGGTGGTGGAAGCCGTGCAGCGGGCCCGCCTCGTCCCACACGCTCTGGCCCGGCGCGAAGCCGGCGGGCGGCGGCGAGCACGCCTTGTAGTAGACGGCCAGCTCGTCGGGCGGCGGCGGCCCGGCGGCCGGGGGCTGCTGCTGCGGCGGCGGCGGCGGCGGCGGCGGCGGCGGCGGGTAGCCGTGGCCGTGGCCGTGCAGGGGCAGCTCCTCGACCTTGATGGAGGGCGGCGCCGGCGGCGGCGGCGGCGGCTGCGCGGGCATTTGGTAGAGGCAGGGCGGTTTGACGTCGTAGCCCGCGGCGGCGGCGGCGGCGGCGGCCCCGTAGTTGTCCATAAAGGTACTGAAGCTGGGGAGAGAAGTGGTGGCAGTGATTTCAGTGTTGGTCAGGTCCATGCTAAACTTCACAAACTCGGGCGTTAAGAAGTCCGAGCTGTACTCCCCGGCAGCCGCCGAGTGGTGGTACGCGTAGCTCTGCGTGGCCGGGCTGGCTCCTTGCGGCGAGGACCCGTACTGAGCCTGGACGCAGGGCATGGCTGCAAATGAAACACGGCACAACAACAACATGGCTCAGCGATCCTGGCAACAGCAAGCCCCGACAGGGCGACCCTCCCCAGCCCCCCGCCGCCGCCTCTTCCCCTGCCCTGCCCTGCCCTGCCCTGCCCCTCGTCCCTCACCACCGCCCGCTCCTTGGATGAGGATCCTGCACTGGCCTGGGGTTGGGCAGAGGAGGCTAGGAGAGGTGGGGGAGGAGTCGGAGGAGAGCGGGGCGAGAAGCGTGGCTGGCGGGGCTGGAGGGAAGCGAGCGAGGAGCGGGGAGGGAGATGCTGCTCAGAAGGGGAACCTGGCTCGAGAGCGAGAGCCAGAGGAGTCGCGGGAGCGAGCGAGCGAGCGAGCGAGCGAGAGAGAGAGAGGAGTGTCGAGGGAGGGAGCAGTCAGGGACGGAGGGAGGCAGCCAAGTGGCGGGACAGGTGCAGAGGAAGGCAGGGAAACGGGCGTACTATATAGAGGTGGGATGGGGAGAGGAGGGGCAAAGGGGGGGAGCGCGGGGAGCGGGGCAGCGGCGCAGGTGGGAAGGAGATGGGGGGCAGCCCTCCTCTGAGCCCGCAGAAGAGGGGCCGTCTGGGGCCTTGCAAGCACTGCAGCCCCTAGCATGCATCCTCCCTCCCCACTGTGCTCCCCACCCCCACGTAGCATCGGATCGGCCCCCTCCCACCCGAGGCTTGGCACGAGCACAGCCCCACTCCTGGGATGTACCAGGAGAGGTTGCAGGCCGGGGGCCCGCCGTGCTGGGGGCGCTGGCGGAGGAGGGGGCGCAGCGAGCAGCACCCACCTTCAGCCGAGCGAGAGGCGTTTTCGGGGGGATTAAAGGCGGACAGCGTCGGAATTCAGCGGAGGGACGAGTTGCTGAGACTTGAGCGAAGCGCTGCGGAGTCCAGTCTGCTCGAGGTGCTCTCTCTGAAATGCAAACACGGGAGAGGGGAAACTTAGTATTCTTTCAGCCTCACCTGGGACAGGCTGGCGGGGAAGCCAGGCTCAACACCACGGTCTTCTAGAAAAACCAGCGGATAATCTGCCCATAGCTTCCTGGAGAAGTTAAAATGCTCATGAGGATGAGGATGGCAGGAGGAAACTCTCTCGTTGCTTTGTTAAAGCGCCGTCATGCCCCATTATTAGGGTCCTGCTTGTCAAACAAAAGTATACCAAAATTTTGTTTGGTTCCCCTCCCACTCCCAAGTAGCGTGTGCGCGTGCACACGTGTGCATGCTTTCACACGCAAAGGCACAGTTATAAGTATAAAATACCGCAGCCTTAGAAAGCTCATTTAAAAGGAAGTCGGTCTTCTGAAATATCAACTGGATTAGATGCTTGATGCTGAGGGTGATTAAAAAGGAAGAAATCTGCACTTAGGATCGGGGTGTCAGTTTAATTAAAGGAAATAACAGAAACAGAGACCACCCCACCCCACCCCCCCACTTCTGGGAATTCCACTGGACCGGATAGCATCCAAAGGCTTGCTCCAAAAGGAGCGCGCCCGGTGTAAAGTGGCTGAATTCAAGCACAGAGGCTCGCGCGCGCGCGCGCACAGCGAAGGCAATTAAAGGCCAGCGCGGCGGCCAGCGGGAGCCACACGGCCGCCTTCGCGGGAGCGGAAGAAGTTTCTTGTTTCGTGCCCCCGTCCCTGGATGCCCGTTACGATGTGCCTGCAGAGGGGCACGTCTCTCCGCCTTCGGAACTGACGAAAACCCACTTGGCGTCGGGCGTTTGCGAGGGCTGCATCCCTTCGCGACCAGCCCGAGGCCGCCCGCCGCCCGGCCAGCCGGCTTCCCAAGCAGCACGCGGGGAAGCCGTGGTCGCGAAGCCCACCGAGCGGCTCCGCTGCGCCGCCGCTCCAGAGCCTCGTCCCCGGAACCCGCATCCCGCCCGAAGCGCTCGGTCTCTTGGCTTGCCCCACCCGGCCCCGCTTCTGCCTGCTCGCCTCCGCAGGGCTCGGAAATTCGGGCCGGGGCTGTTAGGAGAGGTGGGGTCCCCTCCAGCTTATCTCCCGCCCCATCGAGTCAAGTCCGGGGGGCGGCATCCCTCCCCCCTCCCCCTCGCCTCTATAAAAGTCGCGTATGATGCACACATTTACTATCCGCACCTCCGGCAGTCATAAACATGAAAGGCCGCGAAGGGATTGAGGACTGAGCGCCGGCCCCGTTAGCTAAGCCCGGGAACCGGCGGAGATCAAAGTCGTTTCCCAAGCAACACATATCCGCCCAGCAACTTTTCTCCTGCAATTGAACCCTGGACAAAATCGCAGCCGCCCGCCCCGGGGATTCCTATTCACACGCTCGGACCTTACGGAACAAAGTGCAGAGGGCAGGCTAAGCCCAAAGTTGACCCTCCCCACGTTATTACGTGATAAATAGCAGCTTAGGCATATGGAGGAGCCGAGTGGGGGCGGGGGCCCCGGAGAAATCCCCGCACCTAAAGGCCGAGCAGATTTCTAGGAAATTTGGACAGGCAGTTTCGTTGCTCTCCGTCGCCTCCCCCTCCTCCCCCCCGCCCCATGTGCTTTTGCCTCCAGAAAACTGGGGGTCCCCATCCAGATGGCGACGGTCAGCGGCCACGGCGAGCGGCGCGATCCACTTACTTATTGGGCGGCGTCTTTTTCATTCATTCAACTGCTGGCAGCTCAGATTTCCCTGGGGCGGATCGGCGAGGGGAGCGCAGAAAGAGGAGCGGGAGCCCCTTCTGCCGCCGCCGCCGCCGCCGCCGCCGCCGCCGGTGTTGCCGCTCCTCTCGGCTTTGGCGCTCTCGCTGCCTCTCTGCCTCTTTCCTCCGCTTCCCTTCCCTTCGCACCAGGCGCACGCACTCACGCACGCAGCCACACACACACACGCAGACGCGCACAGGCGAAGACACGCTCCCGAGCTCTCCAGGAAGTGCGGGGCGAGCGCAGCGCGGGGCGAGCGAGCCGGACGGACTGGCCCTTCCCTCCAATGTGCCTTTGTTTATGTGGGCTCCGTATTGCCACAGCCACAGCCAACATGCACCTCAAGTCTCCAAGCGTCAGTGCACGTCAGTGCTGCCCGCCCAATCAGCCAGTCAAGGGGCTGGATCTCTCGGTACAGTTGGCTAGTTCTTGCTTTGGTAAATTTCCGACGTGACATCACCAAGCGTGGCGCTTTTAAGGTGGGAAACAATTCGCCGGCTGCCTTCACCTTGGCGCTGCCGCGCTTCCCAAAATAGGGGCAGGGCCCTCCTCTTCCCCCGGCCCCCGCTCCAAATTCTGGGACACCGAGATGTCCGGGGCTGTAAACAAAGAACAATTCGCCTCCCCTCTCCCCGCCCCCACCGCCGCGCCGCGCCGCGCCGCGCCGCTGCGAGTCTCCATTCACGGCCAGTCCACCCCCCTCGCCCTCGCTCCCCTTCTCCCACTGTTTGAACGTGTTCTTCTTCCCTAGGCTGCCAGACCACACGGAGCACGTGCGCATCTTTGCAGGTACGTCCGCTTTTCAGATCTCAGCTTGCGATCCTATACACACATTTGCCCGGCAGTAGCTCCCATTGAACGCAGTGTGGTTTACTCCCGAGTAGACATGCCTGAGGTTGCTCTGCCTCTTTCTCCTCCTCTCTCATTCAGGAGACTCGGTCTTCACCCATCCCTCCCGGGCGTATATCGTCTCATCCCGGATCCGCTCCCCCTCCTCCGTTCACTCGAAACAGGGCGCCTTACAGGTACAGAGACCCGTGGAATGCATTGACGCACCCAAGCGAGCCTTTTAAAGCCGAGACCACGTATTCAAGCAGTTGCACAATCTCTCCCAGCCCGATTTACGTCCCGAAGCATAACCGCCTCCCGCCTCCCCCATCCCCGCCGGCTGCGCTCCAACTGCTTAAAAAACTGTCCAGGAAGCCATCACTTCTGGAGGAAAGGGAGCGCGCGCGCGCGCCCAGACTCCGCGGAGAGCGCTGGCTTGCAGGACCTGCGCTCCTTGGCGCCCGGGATTCCTGACAAGCGGCGGGCGCTGCATGCCAGCCTCGGAGCGGCGCTTCAGTCTTGCCCAGGGGAAACCCCACTTGCCCGTAGCTGAGCTGCGATGCTGAGTTCAGAGGAAGAACTGCGGGCGCGAGTGTGGGGGCGGGAAGGGGAAGATCGCGCTTAGGATCGGTGCAGTCCGATCCGGTGTACGCTTCATCGATCATGCCAGCTAGGGGTTCTGTCCCATTGCACACGCTGGGATTGACTTCCGAGTAACCACGCGAGGGGTTACGCTGGAACTTCCGCTCAGTTAAGCTGTGAGGGGTTACTTGGGAGTAAATGTTTATCCAGGTACGGATTGCTGCCTCAGGAAGGGACCACAGAGTTGAATCCGTTAGTCCTACATTGTAATGCACGGGGCGCGAGTTCGTCGTAACTCTTGTTCAGACCCACGCGTTGTCATGGGCCTATTCCAAGTAGGACCACCAACTGCCTTTAGCCCATCTCGGGGCCGCGTGTCCCGCCACTTTCGGCGCTGGCCACATCGGGAGCGGGCAAAAGGAGGGCGCATGGTTGGAGCTGTGGGAAGGGAGGAGGGAGGCTTCCACTACCTAGGCTGAGCGAGCTGCTTGGCTTGCCAGGCCGCGTGGATTCCCTGGGACGCTCTGGGAGCAGCGAGAGGCTGGGCCGGGCCAGTTCCCCCGCGCGCGCCTGCGGCTTCCTCCCCCGCCCGCCCAGGCGGAGAAAGTTTCGCCCTCTCTTGTCAAAGAGTCTCCCCGCAGTCGGTCGACTGGCTGCCTCGGCCGGGGAACTCCGGCGTCTTTGCACGTGACCCGTTCAAAGACAGCCGGCCGGTCACCGCCGTGCTTTGGCTTGCGGGAGGACGTCCGGCAAGTCCAGAAAGAGGGAGCGCGTCGGACATCCGGCCGCACAGGGCAAGCCGAGCTGCTCGGAAACTCTCAAAGGAGCCTCACTGAGTCCAAGGCTCTTGAACGTCTTGTCTTGCATGGCATAGTCCCCGCCTGCCCAAAGAGCCCCCGTGCAGCCGGATCCTAAGCACGCTTCCCGGGAAGTACGCGTGGACCCGTCAACTTCCCTCTATTTTACTTCGGAGCAGCAATCAGGCCCCCTGGAGCCAGAGCGGCCGGCGCATCGCTCTCCAGCTGGGATGGCAACTTCTTCGGGAGCATCTGCCCAGCTTCCTTTAGCGGCCTTTCCCTTGCTGCGGCCAGTGGGATTCCCTCCCAGGCGAGCCAAGTCTCTTTCTCCCCCCGAGCTATTTTTAGGGACTCTATAAATAGCGAGAGGGAGCCGCAGCCAGGGGCTGAGAGAAGTGGGGGAGGGAGGGAGGGAGGGGAACCTCGAGCGGCCACCTTAAGTCCTCCTCCTCCAGCTCTGGCTGGCCCGGGCGAGAGGACCTGGAAGGAGCGGGGGGGGGGGGGGAGAGAGAAAGCGCGAGCTCATTAGCATGAGCGCAGCCGCGTCAGCCGCCGCCCGTGGGCTGGAGCGAACGAAAGGGAAAAAGTGAGAGCAGGGCGGGGGGAGAGGCGGGGCGGCGCGCGCGTGACGCAAGGGGACGGGGCCATTGACGCAACAGGGTCGGGATGCGCCCAAAATAGTAGCGGCCCCGGCAGCTTGGCCCGGCGGCGGCTGCTCCATTGCGCGCTCGGAGAGGGGGAAGCAACAGCCTGGCAGTGGGCTGGGCTATTTTAAGGCTCCCCGAGTCGGAAACTCGAAAGCAGCCCAAAGGGGTTATTTTTAAACCTTTTCCTGGCCCGGCGCTTTGACGCGGGGAACTTCGTCGCGCTCCGTCTTCGGGGGCGTGGATGTGAAGTGGCTCGCCCCGCACCGGCGCAGATGACACGTACGGGCGGCCCTAGCCCGCGACTTCGCCCCTCTCGCTTGGCGCCCCCCTAAGGGCAGATGGGTGCGCAGAGGCAGGGGTAAGGCTGAGCGCGCCATCCTGTGCATGATTAGCGAGCATGGAAACACAGCTGCGCTTAATGTGTGTGTCTGCGGCCGCTCCGAAAAGTGGCACGCGCACTGCATTCCCCCCAGAAGGCGCTTAGGCTATTGCACTGTCGATGGGACCCTCTTCTTTGTCCTGGCACCTGTGGCACCTGGTGGATGTCAGGCCTGAGCAGGGCTTCGAATGGCGCGCCTCAGGTTTACGCGAACTCTGTTGTCTAGTTCTCTACGCAGAAATAATTTCTGCAAGCAGCCCGTCATGGGCACTGGAAAACTAAGCTGCAACCTTGTGCAAGACTTTCCAGGGAGTCAGACCCATGGGACTCAGAAGTTCTGAGTACACATGCAGCAGAATTGCACTGCAGTAGCTGGCTGCAACCTGTTCTTTACCTCAGTTCAACCGGATGAAAGAATATGTCTTCAGTATTGTGTACTGGAGCAATTCTAGTTCGCAAAAAAGAGCTTAGTTAGCCTGTAGAAGTTACAGGTATCTGCAGTTATCCAAAATTTGACCTATTCATCAAGGCTACTCCCCGGCCCCCCCTCCCTGAAGTTTTCGCCAGTCAGGCAATTTGCCTTTTGTTCTCTCTTGGTCACATAGAAGACAATCTGAGGTTGATACTAAGTTCCCCAACTAAAAATACTTCAGTTGGCTAGTATAGTCCTTAGTTACTGCATTTCTGCAATCCTGGCAGTAGGGGGCTCGACTTTACAATCAAAGTAAGGACTACATTTGAATGGCCTAATAAAATCTGAGTGATGTTTCTAATGTGCTCTGGTAAATCGTTGACTATTAGCTGAACAAGATAGAGCTGTATATACCCTGTTTGCATTTTGGTGAAACTCAGATATCTCACGTCTTATTATCTGAAGCTTTTGTTTTGGATCATTTATATAGTCTGGTTGTATTTCTTTTGACCTCTGAATCTTAATCACAGTTTCAGCTGAGAGCACAGAAGTATTGCATAAATAGTGAAAAGGTAGGGAGGGATGTTACATTTTCTAAGAGAAAGTCAGTTTTTCCCACTAGTGCAGCATGGTGTCATGAAAACCTTGTCTGTACAATCATTTTGAAATATTATTTTGCTGTTACACTATGGATGCTGGATTCCTCATTATTGCCAGTCTATTTTATGGTTTTAATAGGTGTTTTTATTCAATTATTAAATCACTTATGGCACATCGCCTTGAGTAACTGGATAGGGATGATGCCCTTGTGTCACTGTGACTTGAGAGCTAGTTCTTCAAACATTTATGCTTGCAAGTCTTTTCGCAGTGCCACAAAGCAAGCACTAGAACACCAGACTGTCATGTTTCACTAGAAAGATAGCTATGCTAGCATTTATCTTGAGGTATCCATTCATAATCCCTCGCACATGCTTGTGTAGCACTTACTAGGATCTACCTCTTGTCTGGGATCACAGCTTCAGTTTGTAATTTAAACAGTGAAATTTTAAGGCTGTAAGATAGGAGTGCTATAGTGAGAAGTGTGTTCGTATCTCCATGACAAAATTTGTAAAAAAAATGAGGCATGGACAAATGAAGATCATACTTCTCTTTAAAAAAATATAAATGAGTATCCAAATGCTATACATAGATTGGCAATCTAGAATATATTGGTCCACAGCATTTAGTGCAAGTTTAGGAAATAACTTGTTAGAGCAGTACAGCAATGGAACCAGTTGCCTGAGGAGATCATGGGCTCTCCCACTGGAGGCGTTCAAGAGACAGCTGGACGGCCATCCGCTGAGGACGCTTTAACTGGAGGTTTGCATTGAGCAGGATGTGCCTGATGGCCTTATAGGCGCCTTCCAACTCTGCTATTCTGAGTCTATGAAAGACTGTTCCTTCCCTGTTATATGTAAATTCCATGCACATTTACTGCGCATATTTATTTATTTATTCGTTCAGAAAACACAAGCGTGGCTTCTGTGGATTCTGGGCAGTCATTCATCCAAACACTGACCAGACTGGGCCCTGTTTAACTTAAAACTCTGCAATAGCAGCAGACAGGTTCAGACCATCCTGTGGTTCATTCAAGTGATGAATGTGATAAGATGTATAACAGAACAATCCTATGCATGTTATTCAGAAGCATCACTGAATTCAGCGGCACTTTCTCACACATAATTTGGTATAGCACAGCAGTCTTATAGCACTCTGCAAATTAGAAGTATTATCTAAAACACTGACCTGTCATAGGAGTGAGTTGAATTCATTTCCTATACTGACTTATGCTCAGATATAAGCACATTTTAATTTCACTGAAATATAAATGAGTATAGGCAGTAGGAGGGCTTTATTTGTAGTATCTAGGAATAGACATGATTAGAGATATGTGAAAGTGAACACAGCATGACTACTATTGTATAATAAGACAATCTGTATGTCAAGGATAAATGAATAAGTATATAAGATGCAACCCTGCACTTGTTATTTTTGACGCATGTTTTATTTGGCATAGTTCAACATAAACAAGCAGTGCACGTCAATTTAACAATAAAATCTGGACTGACTCTTAAGATTTGAGAACGAAACCACAACCTTCAAAATTTTACCTGATGCATATTTATGTAGTATGCAGCTGATACTATTAATTATGACCAATCAGCTTAATAATATTTAGCTCCACATTTAAGTTATGGAAAAAATATGAAACATCACAGAAAATAAGTTGAATGGAGAATTGCGTGCTATAGAAAGTTAATAATAGCACACCCAATAAAAACTGTTAGAGGTAAGTGATGCTGGATTCTAAAAAAAAAAAAAAAAGCTCACCAGAAAATTATTTCATTGTTTTTGAAAAGCTGAAATTATTTATTACTGGCAAGTCTGTATGTTTAACCCACTCTCCAATCTTTTCTCTATGTATTTGTAAGAAATAAATACTTATAAACTGTGTCCACAGAAGAAAGAACAAATGCAAAAGAACAAAGGAGAAAAGAGCTCCTTAACTTCTCCAGAAAAGAGAATTTCATTAGGTACAGCTTTTCTTCCCTCACCATCCCCTCAACAACTCTCCAAATTCCGTTCCATCCAAATATCCTGTTTTACATGAAAGATACAGCAGCTGCTATACAACTTCTGAAGTGCTTGAGTCCCAGTAATGTATTAGTACTGACCAAACAGGAAAAGACAGCTGTGAAAGTCTGCCCATGTATCACTGCTATATGGCTATTATTTGGAAGCATTTGATGTGATTCAGCAATGCAGGCTCTCGTTCCAGTGAGGAAGTTATTAGAGTTTGTCTAGCAACTACATGCTGGAACTGTATGCTCATAAGTAAGCTTTATTCATTGAAATGGTGCTGCCTAGTAAGAAGCAGGCCCAAGCCTTGCTGATTATCCTGATGGTTATCCCTTGCTGTAGGAGTACATTACAGAAGTAACTTATAGCTGGGCCCTTATAGTGACAAGTTGCATACCTAATTACCATATCTTTAGAATAGATGTTAATATAAAATTTCATTGCTCATTTTAAAGTTCTGAAGTTAACAACATAAACTTGAAGTTGAGTCATTAAGTAATCCTTATATAGACACTTATTAAAGTATTTATACATATTATCTTAAATCTACATCTATCATTTTGCCAATTAAAATTAGGACTTTAATTGCAATTAAGTAATTTAATTGCCAATTGAACAGCAAAATTGCTAAGTGACTAATTTTAATGCCTATTTTAATTACCAATCATGACTGGGGAGGGAGCTAATCAAGCAGTATCAGAGTAATGATGTGAAAAAAAGAGAGGGAGCACAAACATTCATGGCTCTATGCTTCAAAAAGAAACCTATATTAAATAAATGCAAACAGTTCTATAGGTGTAGCAAAATTTAGCATTTTGGGATCTAAATACACATAACACAATTAAATGGTAACCATCTGTTGAAAATATTAGCTGTGTACAATTTCACAATTTGTATTTTGGTCCTGTAAAAGCAACCCCCTCAAATTTGAGCATTATATGTTAAGATTGCATAGGACACTTAAAACCTGACAGGTTATATGTGGAATTATGATTTAGAATGACTTGATTTTAGAAACAAAAACTATGTAGAAATGTATTCTGTTCTACTGAGGAAAGTCCTAAAACTGCATGTTTTTTTTGAAAGGATGCTAATCACTTATTAAGATGATTAATATAAAAGAAAAGGCAGGAATGCTTAAATAGAAATATCAGGAAGACAACATCTGTGATTGTAATGAAATCAGAGTAATGCTTACCAATAAAACTATGCCCTTAGAAACCATAATACGAACTGTTACTTTTTTCCCTAGTTTGCTCTGCTTTCCCTCATAATGGAAAGTGTATGACACGGTGTCATCGGCATTATTGTCTCCTGACAGTTTAGCAGATAAAAACCATGAATGATGAACTCCCCTGGGTCACTGGAAGCTACATTTCAGAAGGTCCATATCAATACATTCATGCTTGTCTTTAGTAACAGCGCTTCCTCTTAGGACCAAGAATTGCTTTCTATCCTTTTAATTGGCTAAATCTGCAGTCAAGCACCTAATGAATTCAAATTTTACTCTTCTTTAAAGAAAAAAAATCTAATTAAAAATCTTCCCAGGTCAGGACTCTCCAATATAGAACTATTAATGGTAGTTCTATAAATAAATAATAATAAATGGCTAATCATAAATGGCTGTTTATTATGGGTGAGTGACCTAACCATGCTTTACGTAGCTAAACTACACATTACATTGCACCTATGCATAACAGCCCTAAGTGTCTTCCCTGTAGTAAAGCTTACTCCGAAAGGTGTTCTGCAGCACAGAAGGGCGGCAAGGAGGAGGTTCTAACCCATTCCTTGCTGCAAAGTGCCACATCTTGTGGGTACTTCGCAGTGAAGAAGAGGTCTGCATGACACAGTATACATTGTCATTAGCACAGACAGACAAGTGAATCTTTAAATCTACATTGCTATTTTAAGCAGGACCAGGGATCACCAACTCCTTTTTTATATCTCTGGATGTTAAATGATTCATTCCATAGTTCGTTATGTAGGCAATAGGCTTTCACATCAATAATGTAGCTCCCACAAAACTGAATGTTACAGTGCTCTGAAAGAATATCTGATTATATACTAATAGCACAGCTTCATCCACCTTCCTGCTGAAATCAAATAGTTTGCTTCAAACTGCTTAAAACAGTTTCTCTTCTTCATTAACCATTTTTATATCAGAATTCAGTATCTGATTCTCCAAACGTACTGGATATGACTACTGTACAAAGCATGAGTGTCCTGTTTGCCAAAGTCTAATAACCTAATACGATGCACATATTTGATAGTGTTTCTTGTAATAAGTTATCCGGTTGGTTTTGTGATAAGGTTGTATAGTATGTAAACTATCATTATACTTGCATGTGTTCAGTTATATTCTATGTCATCTTCCAAAAATACAAAGTAAAAGAAATGTACAGCACTGTACATGAGCATATGAATAATTGCAACATCTTCTTCAAATACTATTTTCTCCCTCATTTAGGTAGAATGTCTAAGGCAGAGATGAAAAAGAATTGCAGCTCTTAGTATAGCTCCTACAAGCTTTACAGCTTGATAGCACCACCACGCAAAAATCCTTGTTATGAATTCTGAGGTCTGCAAAATCTTGGTTTCATAAGTGAGGGGCATTTCTTCTCTTGCACAGAGGTTGTGGCAGACAAAGACAACACAATCACACATTTTAGAAATACTATCCTAAGAAAGAGAATTCCAATGAATGCTATCCTGTACCCAAGGACAGGTAACATTTTGGATTAGTTTTCAAATATTTTATTTCCAGCATACAAGACAGAAGCACCAATGAACAAACCTTGATCTCTAAAATGCATACATACCTTTTTACTTCTAAGGCAAGTTAACTGATATGATTAGACCTAATAAATTTTAACCATTTTGAAACATAAGATAAATGCATAAAAATTAAACAGCTATAAAACTGCTCTGAAAATGTAGCTGTAGATGAGAACACAACAGAGCTATCTGGCAACATCAATTTCATTTTCTAAATCTTCCCGCTGTTCTCCTGTACTGTATTTTCTCCTTCCCCTTTCCAGGAACACAGAAAAGTGTAGAATTTCTACATACAGACACAAAATAAGAAAGGGGTGTTAATAACATTTTAATAAGATGCCTATAGATACATTTAATGCAATTATTCTTTATACTGTCAGGTTATTTTATAGGGAAGTAGGCCATATGACACGTCTGACAGCTTCCTGGATCCCACCTGACAAATAGATGTTTATAGCATTTTAAGTCTTCCTGCATTTTAGTTCACATGCTTTACTAGACAGACTGCAAGATCCACTTACTGTCCTATAAAGTCTCAGGTCAAGGAATATAAATTGTACAGAGCAATTCATCTTTTTGTTCAGAGTCATTAAATTTCCTCCCAGAATATATCTGATTGATATTCTTGGAGGTGAAAGGCTAAAGGGACCATATGGCAACATGTTGCATTCCATATGTTATCTGCCCATCCGTGCTTAAGCTGCCATTAGCAACATCTGCACCCAGTGGAAATCCAGCTGCGCCGAAAACTATTGTCAGGACAGAACTACCTACAGTACCAGAAGAATTGGGTTTAACGCTATTAAGATCTCGATACGCTTTCAGCCTTTAAAGGGGACTTTAAAAACCAAAACGTAAAAGGGAGACCAAGTGTTCTATTGGACATGAAGAAATGATAGCAGAACGAGGAAAAGCCTGGGCTCCGTGAGCAACCGATATGCGGACGCGTGCATTCGCGACCCCACCCCCACCCCTCGCAAGGCAGGAATAACGCGCGCGCGCGCCTTCCGCTGCGACGCGGCCGGTCCTGAAAAGGCTCTTCCTCGTCCGTCTTCTCAGCGCTGCGAAAAGCCCCTCCTCCCCACAAGGGGGAAGACTTCCTCGATCTCGACGAAGTGGGGCTTCTCTGGGGTGGAGAGACGGAAGAGAAGCTCCTCCTCATTCCCCATAAGAAGAAGGCTTCTTTTGAAAGAAGTTCCTGTGCCGCTTGGTTTCCTGTGGCTTGTTCCGGGGGGACCCGAGCGAACGGCCTTCCCACCCCAAGCAATACCTGGTCCCGGGCGCCCCGAGCGAGCCCGGACTTCGCTGGCACCCGCCTGCTGGCGCCCTTCTTACCAGGCGCGCGCGCGCTCCCCCGCCCGGTCGGCTCGGCTTCGGCTAGACTCGGCTCCTCGCCCAGCGCAACGCGTCGGGGCCAAGCGGTCACCTCCAGGGGGCGACGGGCCGCGTCTTCTCCGTCGACAGAGCTGCGGCGCGCCGAGGGGGCATCTTCCTTTCCCCGCCTTCCCTCCGAGCGCCCCGGTCGCTGCACACAGAGCGTCCATTGTCGCCGCCCCAAAGACGCCGCGCGCCCGGCTCCGGCAGCCAACAGCGTCAGCTCCCCCGTCAGCGAAGCCGCGCTCCGTGACGGCAGCGCCAAGCTGTATAAATAGCCCGGCCCAGTCCGGGCGTGCGGGGGGGGGGGTAGTTTCCATTGACACCGCCAGGAAAAGAAACAATGGCTTTGGGGTAGGAGCGGGCGGGAGCGCGCGCGCCGCCCTAGCCGTGCTCTTGGCCCGGCGCCAGCTCCGCGCTGCAGGGCTTTCCCCGTTTCCGCTTTCCCGCCAGAAGTGAGAGGCTCGCGAGGGCGCTCTGCCTCGTCCTCAGTCGTGCGCGCCGCAGTTTGCTCGGCCGCTTCTGGCTAAGGCCACGCGGGATGAAACAAGGTGTGCACAGTCCTTTAAAACAGGCAGGGCGTCTCCTCCTCCCGCGCTTGTCAGGTTACAGAAATCTTTGCGCGGAATCTTAGCTCGGATGCACGTTTTCAGATCTGCCCTTTGCTAGTGTCAATTCTTGCTCCCCCAGTCAAAGACTGGTTAAAGAGTTAAGGGCAGCCCCTCACCTACTGGCCTTCATTCGCGCGGGTGGCTCGCCCTCCTCCCTGCTGGTTTGCTATCAGGGCTACGTCGGGCGTCAAGGGCAAAGAAGGGGATAGCCAAGGCATCTGCCTAGGGCCCTGCAAGAGCCCTTGGAGTTGCTCGAAGTCACTACCATTGCACTTCTCTTCACTTGGAGCAGATCGACTGCCAAGCACACAAGTGGTAGCAATGTGAAGAAAGCGAAGATGCGGAACAAGAACAGCCACTGGCAATGGTGGTGAGAAGCAGCTGCACTGAAGGGAAGGGGCCTGTCGAAGGTGTTTTATCCAGAGGCTCCTGGATCCCCACTTCTTTCACTCTTCCCTTCAGCTCTGCTATCCCCTGTAGGTGCAAAGCCTCTTCCCTGTCACGGAAAAGTGCCTTCCTGGACTGCCCAAGCTGGAAAGGGTGGCTAGAGGAGGGAGGGAAACCTTGTTTTGGGGCACATGGGTGGCTTGGAAAGGAGGAAATGTTTACTTCCTGTGCACCGCCCTTTCTTCTAGCAGTTCATCCCAACCTCTTCTGTTCGGTCATCTGCATCACAATTTTCTCCGTTGGTTGCTTTCCTCCCTTGTCCACATCTGCTCATGATTCCCTTCCTGGTGCTTGGCTCCATCCCCACTAGGTATGGAAAGAGGCCCACAGAAGTGACATAAATAAATAAGCAAACAAATACATTAATTTACATGTGTTCTAAAGGTTCTGTTTTTACTGGACCCTGTCTTCTAAGAGATCTATGGGCAGAGGAGAGGTCATTTGATTTCAGAAAAGCAAGCACAAACAAACAAAAAACCCAGAAAGGTTTGAGTGGCATCAGGTGAAGCACATGTGGGCAAAATGCCGGCTAATCCAGGAAGATCGGATGCAACAGAGATCATCAGGGCCTCTGTACCTTTATTTCAGTAAGGTTAGGGGCTCCACGTGAAATATTTGGGGCTCCAGCTCTAGTGAACCACCCTCTAGGTCTGCTTCTGGTCTCCACCCTTTCGCCACTTGTGCTCCCTCTCTCTTCCTCGCCCAAGTGTGCCACTTGCCCCTTCCCCACACTTGTCTGTGTCTTCCAGTCCTTTACTCCTCTGTGTCGCCTCCCTCAGCTGCTCCTCCGCCCTTACTGCTGCCTCACCTGTAGCTTTCCATGTGCCCAAGTGCAGTCCTAAGCATCTGAAATCAGAAGTGATTCCCACAGTTCAGTGAGGCTCACTCCCTAGTAGTATGCTTCAGATCATAGCTTTAATTTGCCTTTTTAGGGTTAGGGTGAAAATGTTTTTAAGTTACATTTCTAACTATACTTGTTAGGATGTGGATTCTGGTGCAAGCTAATTTACATGCACGTAGGATTGTGCTATAAATATTTGTTTATTAGTTTTATAGCCTTTTTTCTTACAACAAACTCAAAGTGGCTTGCATCAGTCTCCTCCTGCTGCTCTCAGCCTTATCCCCACAACAACCCTGTGAGGTACGTTGGGCTGAGAGTCTGTGACTGGCCCAATATCTCTAGCTGGCTCCATGGCCAAGCAGGGACTAGAACCCAGATCATCTGAGTCCCAGTCCTGTGCTCTTAATCACTATACCACACTGCCTCACAATAGTATTTCCAACCTCTGCTTATCCCTGTCTAAGAGTTTTTGTTTAATCTGATTCTTCTATTTCCACTGCAATCCTATGTACATTTTAGTTGGAAGTAAATTCTCTTGTCTTCAGAGGGATTTATTTCCAGATAGATCAACAGAGGACTGGAACAGTAAAGCTTTCTTGTGTTTATTTGCCTCTGTGCCCCCCATCCTCACAACAACACTGTAATGTAGGTTAAAGTGAGAGTATATGACTGGCAAAGTCATCCAGTCAAATCCTTTTTCTCATATATGCACGAGAGGTGAAATTCATGCATGCATAAGAGGGAAAAACCCTTGCCTGTACATAGGCATAAATATAATGTTATGATGATGATGTCTGTGAGAGATAGACAGTGGCTTTCTGTTTTTGTTATGTTTTGCTTAACTTCAAGGAACAGTTTTTAAATCATATTTGATTGGACCACGTAGATCATTTGGTGTGGTTGAAAGCTGGCCTCCTACCTAAATCTGTTGCAGGCAAAGGATACCCAAATCTCAAGTTGTGGATATAGCAAGAAAATGTGAATTAGGCCGCAGCATTTGATGATAGCTTTCATCTGGCTCATATGTGCTATTAGGTGGATTCTTGAAGCACCTAATACAAGAAATGCTAGATGGACAACATGGAACATTTTTGCTGGTCCCAGATACTCCATCCTATGTTCCCCAGTTGCTGAGGAATATGGCACTGTTGCACCCATGTCCTGGCTGTGGGTTTTCCATGGGCAGCTGGTTGGCCATTGTGTGAACAGAATGTTGGACCTTGGTCTCATCCAGAATGGTTCTTCTTATGTTCTTAAGCCTCCCAATCTGGATATGCAACTTAAATGAGAAATGGAGTGCTTGTAGGATAAGTCACAAGCCAGCAAAAGTTGTGATGTTGCACAATATCATCACTGATCATAGGGTGTTCTCATCAGCCTTAGCTTTCGATTTCCTGGCTTTTGAGAGTTTGGATCAAGGTTCTCCAGGCTAGGCTTAACTCTGGTCCTTTAAACCTGTGGGTTTCTAGCATTTGTATAAATAAATATGTACATGAATAAGAATGATTTTTGGATGTTGCAGTCAGTTTTGAGAGGGACATATATATGCCTCCCTCTGAAATAGTCTGTTTTATATTCAATAACTCATTGTGCAGTGCTGAAACCTCCACAAGAATTATTGCTTGCCAACTTTAAATGGCAGGACTCTGGCTGGAGCCTGTAAAATGACATGTAAGATAGTTGAGCGTGTACTGAGTACTGAGCATGTACATCCAGTACAACTCATCTGTGATCACAGAAATATGCCTGAAAGCCAGTAACTCTTCTTTCAATCACTAAACAATGCTTGTCCTACTATGTAGCAGTCCACACCGCATCCCTCTATCACCTTTTCATCTTAATGCCTTCTGATAGCCCCCTTCTGTTGGGGCAGATTTATCTCACCTAGTAAGAGTGAAAGGAAAAGTGAGTTGTTTTAATAGGTTAGTCAGTAGCTTTTTCTTTCCTAATGTGAATGCAACTTTTAGAAAAGTAGTAAGAAATGTTGGCATATTCACATTTGCCCTGGCAAAAGCTTTTGGAGACTAGAGTTCATTTCATATGATGGATTATAATCCTTGGTGCACATATGTGTGCTGTTAGTAAACCTTTACTCCCACGTCATCGCAAGACTCTTGCAATATTTAAGTCTGTCTCACAAAATATTAGTCAAGACAAAGGTATGTAAAATAAGTTCCACAAGAAGCAAAGCTGTGGCATCAATTGCAGAACTCTGTTGAAGTTTCTCTGCAAGCTAAATAAAATGAGTGAAATTAAGCCTCACAAGAGATTGGCAATGAATGTTAGTACTTGCAAGCAGAACCAAACAGAGAATAATCACACCAACTGTTCAACCTTAATGTATATCAGCATGAAAAACTGGGTCCAATTCCTGAAACCAAACAAACGCAGCAAGGGCAGATAAATTGAGTGATTCCAGGCCAGTCTGGGGTTAGGAAGAAGAGGTTGCATGATTGCTTCACTGTGCGCCCATATACTGATGACGATGGTTCTTGGAATTGTTGAAGATCACAAGCTGAATATGAGTCAACAATGTGATGTGGCTGCAAAAAGGGCAAATGCTATTTTAGGCTGCATTAATAGAAGTATCACTTTCAAATTGTGTGAACTACTAGTTCCACTTTTCTCAGCAATGGTTCGTCCTCATCTAGAAAATGTAGACAAGCTGGAAAAAGTTTGCAAAGGGGCAACAAGGATGATCCTGGGACTGGAAACAAAGCTGTGTGAAGAGAGATTGAAAAAGCTGGCCATATGCAGCCTCAAGAAGAGACGACTGTGGGGAGATATGATAGCATTCTATAAGTACTTGACAGGGTCTCTTCTCAATCATTCTAGAGTGGAGAACACAGAATAGCAGGCTCAAGTCACAGGAAGCCAGGTTCTGGCTGAACATCAGGAAGAATTTCCTGACTGTTCGAGCAGTACAACAGTGGAACCGATGACCTGGGGAGGTTGTGGGCTCTCCCACCTGAGAAGCATTCAGGATGCAGCTGGGCAGCCATCTGAGAGGAATGGTCAGTGTGGAGTCCCTGAGCAGAGTGTTGGACCCAGTGGGCGCCTGGCCCCTTCAAGCTCTACTACTCTGATTCTGTCATGATGATGTTGATGATGACGACTTACCATGCAATGCGCACAACGTATTTGTTTTATACTCATTGAGTGATGAGGACCAAACCAGAAATATTCAATATTTAGGGCTCCAGTCCTACATACACTTACTTGGTCATGTGGTGCTTTCATATGACTTACTTGGTCATATATGGCTGGTGAAGTTCAGGTCTCTGGTGATCCTGCAGAAAAGGAACAGTTTAATCTCCAAGCCTTAGTCAGTCATTTTCTCTTTGTTCTTCCAAGACGTCACAAGCCAACTAGCAAACCTCCCTCTGTGACTACCACAGACTGACTCTCTCAACTGCCCACTGCCAATTTCTTAGCTGCCAGTCAGAACTAGATCTAGACACGTGCTGGCAAAAGTAGATTTCTTCACCTGCTCCTTCCAACAGCAGTTGTTCTATGCCCCTGGGATGCTATACCAAGGGCTGGGGAGACCTGCAGAGTGAGCTGAGCTGCAATGGGTGTGGAGGAAGGGGGCAATTCCCACAGGATGGGCAAGGGCACCTTCCATAAGAGGAACCCTTTTGCCAACAGAAAGCAGAAGCTCGATTCAATCCCATTTTTAAAAATGTGTTCCGCCTCCGCATGTTTTTAAACCATTTCACCATGCTGCAGTAGTAGCAGCTCTAAGAGTGACAGCTCTGCTAAGAAGCCTCTTCCATCATTTCTCTTCTTTCATCAGGGAAAGTCTGCCATTCCATTTGAAAGAGAAAGAAAACTGGAGTCCTTTGTCAGTGCAACTGAAGGACCACTGGCATCTGGCTCCTCCACTTGTTCTCCATTTCAGCTGGTCCTTCTAAGAACTTTGTGAATAAGACTAGGGCCTAAGTTTGTTTTTCCCTTTTCCATTTGGGTCATGACTTTTAGATTGTAGACTGAGGACAAGAACTGCCTTATGACTGATTTTTGTTAAGCAGCTCTTGGAGAGTTCTTTAGCCGAAGAGTTGGATTAAAATGGTTCAGATAATCAATCAATGTTTAATGTGTCAGATGGGTCCACAAAAACTTATGTGTGCAGGCTTCCTATCATCCATAATCTGTTACCTTCCATTTTGGAGAGAACAGACTGTGTAGGAGGTACACGTGAGTTCGGAAGTTCATGCACTGATTCAAGTGGAACTCATACCTTGAACTTGTAGTAGCTGGAGATGGAGCCAGGAGGACCGGCCCTGATTCCTCGTTCCATCTGCACAGTTCTGTCTGCAATGAACATATGCACAGGAGAAGCAGTCGACATTAAGAACATTTTCATTTCTTTTTCCTGTGCGGGGTTTCCCCACACAAATGCCTTCCACTGTGAAAATGATAGGGTGAACCATTCATGCATAGAATTTATTGTGCCAAAACTAACATGTGACTTTGTAATATACTTGGGGAGCTCGTAATAACTGGTTGATCACTGTGCTGCAATGGCCGGGGATAAGAATGGCCCCAGTAATCTTACCTCAACTGGAAACTAAATCCAGTGAGGGCTGCCCTGCGCAGAAAACTTCTTGCCCAGGAAAGTGGGGTGTTTAACAATATTATGCTCTAGAAAAAAGATGCATCCTCATCTTCTTCACATCTCACTTGCATCAGTGGGGTCTGTGTGCTAAATGGGCAGGACCCACCTTCATCATCATGCAGATGAATTAGCCCTGGCTCCAATATCTGTGCATGCAGGAACACGGAAAGCAAACTTTATTGTGTGGCATGAATTACTTCCGTATCGGATCAAATGAAGGAGGCTTGTGTGAGATCTTCCAGGTACGGACAATGCTTTTTGATTGACAAATATTCTGGAGTCCTTTTAAAAAGCTTGTATTGATTCTTTGTGAAGTCCTCTTTTGTATGAAACAAAAATCCTAGCTTGATTTAGACTTGGCACAGCTCTGATTTAACGTCAGTTAACTACCAATAACCAGTTTGTTCCTAGATTAAGATCCTGCTTGGTGAACTGTAATTTAAAATGTCATCTCTCTGTTTCAGATGTGATTGAAAACATTATGAAATAGAGCAGGACTGAAGTACCAAAGCCAGCATGCCAAGGATGGAGGTAATGTAGGTGTGCTGAGGCATGACACTCATTCCTGGCTTGATAAACCATAGTTTAGCATACCAGTATGAATGTCTGAACTGGTGCATAGTATTTACTTAGCTGCCACTAGAGGTAATGAAAGCTAGATTCATAAATGGCTAGGAGAATCAGGGCATTCCAGATGCAGCTGTCCTGTTACTACTAATCAAATGGAATTGTGCAGCTATTCTCTTTGTTCTTCCTTAATGGAATTTTTGCCATTGAGAAAAAGGATGGAAGAAGTGGAGAAACAGAAGAGGGCTACAAATGGAAGGTGATGTCTGGAGTCCTGGTAAAATTTGCTGACTGAAGTAGTGGGATGGCACAAGAAAAGCCTCATCTGGAAGCACCTTCAACCCTTTAAGTTGGAATCCTAGCTAGGAAAAAGAGGAAATTGCTTAGATAATTTATGTATAGAATTACATTATTGAAAACAGGTATTAAACATTGTTGCTATCATTTAATAAAACATCTGAATACACAATGGGAAGGAATTCTAGCTAAAGTAGTTAATTATTTCTAAAACTTGAAAATGGGAGATCTAAGTGATGTACTGCTGAGAAAACAAGTTTATAGATTTTAAACTATAATTGTAGGTAGCAGAAAATATGCTGGTGTCAAGAGCAGGCTGGGTTTTATTTTATCCTCTTCTATGTGCTTGCTCATCTTTCTTGGTGGTGAGACATCCATAGGGTTTAATTTCACATGGATAAGGGAGCACTAGGGACCTTGAAGTCTTTACTGTGTTTGCAGGCACAATACAAAATAGTAGGGGCAAACAGTCTTCTCTAAGCAGATAGCATAGCTGTTAATTCTTCATTAGATCGTCAAAGAGACTAAAGAGACTTCCATTTCAGCCAACTCACAACTACTTCAACCACTTTCAGATTTTTAAAGACACTTCTTTTGGCTTTTCAGGACTTAGACGCTCCCTGCTTTGGCCCTTTGCTTGGGACTGCAGTAGCAACGAGGAAGCTGGCCGCAACACACCACTACTAGAATTCATTCAGCTTGGTGCATCATATGCATTTTGAGTGATACACAGACAAAACAAAGGGCTTGGGTTGTGTACTATATGACTGCATTTCTGTGCCCTTTTTCTGAAAGATGGCTAGTGGTGTCAGTTTTTACAGGACTGATCACCCATTTGGAAAGAGTTGGCTGGAATCCAAACCATACCAGACTATTATAATATTTTAACACGTGTGCAAATGCAGATTTTGGGTGTGCTCATGCCAAATCAAATGATCTGGGAAGACTCGATATACCGTGTCCACTGCAGCGCTGTGCAGAGGCATGGTAAGTGATGGCATTTTGTTTCAACAGCCAATATTGCTGCCAAAGGGTGCCTCTGATCGCTGGGGGCATTAGAAAGTGTATGTGGAATTAAGCAAGAACTTCAGCTCACATCTGTTATACTTCAGTTAAATGAGTTCAGGCTATTCAATATGAAAAAAACAGATGAATGATGATATGAAAATTGATTCCTATTTAATATTATTACGGAAAACAAACATATTGCTTTTCAGACCAAAGAACTTTAATAAATAAAAAAAATGAATGACACTAAATCAAAAGTGCTTGTTATATCCATCAGATAATTCAATAGAAGAGCCAACAAAATTAGACTCTATTGATACAATAAGCAAATGTGAATGCATTAGTCTCCTTATCACAAAATTTCAATACTCGAGATCATTAGAAAGCAAAATTAAATCAGTTGGTGGGGCGATGGTTTGTTTTTTTCAGTAGCCAATTATAATTAGCCCACAGTTTTCAAGCTAAGACCATATTATTCCTAATTAGGCTTCTAGTAACATCCTGGAACATGCTTGCTTTGCAAAGTGCATAATCTGAAAGAAAAAGCACTACTAACTCTGAACAAATATCATTCACATTTTGTCCACTGTTCAGAATCACAGCTCATTCAACCCTGCATTAATTATTGGCTGCCCAGCAAACGATAATGAAGAAAACATCTGAGAATGATCTCCATATTACAGAGGACAGGGCTCCGTTCTTAACCAACGCAGGAAGGCAACCAGGATTTAAAGCATCACAGCAACTTCTCTAAAAAGCATTGATTTTGAGGCGTATGGTTCATGTTTTGCCCCCCTCAAAGCAAACACGTGGGTGGGAGGACATCACTGGAGTCGATAAAAAAAGACAAGGAAATCTTTCTGCTTATACATCACGCGTGTAGAACTCCTTGCAGTCCAAGCAGTGAATCGCATTCTGGAACGTTTTCAGGTCTTGCATTCTAATGGAGGGTCGGGCCAAAATACAAACAATACCAGCATAGTTTAGCCTTTTCTGCCAGTAATTAAGGAGTGGCATTGCCACCTTTTAGAAAGTGGGGGAGTAGCTGTACAAAACCTGCAAAATCACCAAATAATTAGTCATCAGGAAAACGAGTGTGGCGCCAAGGGAAGGAGGTGTGTCTCTTTGGGATACCCCAGGGGGCCAGTTTGGGATACTTAGGGGGCGGAATTTGGTCTCTAGGCCTGAGGATTCCCCTCCCCCCACCCCCATGGACACATACATCTCAGTTTTGCTCTTGTCGAATTTTCTGGATGCATCTGGGAAGCGATAAAAAGAAGGAATGACTAGGAGTAGTAGGTGACTTTTGTTTGATTGGATCGTACCTCATTCCCTATGTAACTTTGTGGGAATTATCATTTTGGCCTGAGTGGCTAATATCAATATTTTGCTGATATTTTAACTCATGACTTTCAACCATACTAGTCCTTAAGTATTTTTAACATCTACTTGGCAGTCGTCTCCTTGTTTTCCATGTTCTAATCCCCTTGTCTGTGGATTTCGTCTTGTGTTTCTCATTGCAGAAAGCCTCATACTTATTCACCACACTGACCTATGTGGTACCTTGTAAAGGCCTTCTACTGAAATTATCTGTGCATATTCATGGATAGCCTAATAGTGCCACTTTTGGAGTTACCTTCACAATGCCACGGATTTACAAAGTAATGTGTATTTGTCAATGTGCAGAACTGGTGTAGGCGTGTTACGGGTTATACAAAACAGCAAATTGGTTTTCTTCCCCCTCGGCACATTTTAGTTCATTAGTGCCTAATACCTAGAAAAGAACTGAAAAATACACAATCGGCTCCCATCAGGCAATCTTCAAGTTATGTTTCACAACTCAGCAATGTGTATGTGATTTGAAAATTAAGCCTTATCTTTATTAAAAATCCAGTTACTTAATATAGTTAAGTGTTTTTAAACAAATCTGAAAATTGTTTTGTCAGGTATCTTGCAAAATAATGGAACTGATCAGATTTTCTCCAAAAACTTGGCTTGCCTAAATAATTTATTTTAAACAATCCTGCTTTGCTTTTATAAATCCCATCCTCACCAAAGAAGCTTACAGCAAATAAAATTTAAAATAAAGGCAATATTAAGAAGTCAAAAGGGTGTACAGAAAGCAGGAAAAACAGACAATGGCATATCCAGTAAAATAAAGCAGCAGCACTAGCCTCACTATCATCTCCCCAGCAGATTCTTCAAACAAACAAACAAACAAACACAAAAAACAAACTGGAGAAACTTCAAAAAAGTAGCATGTAAGTTTAGGAAACACTAGAGATAACCCTGAGATAACCCTGGAAGTCTGCATAGGTTTTTCTGTGGTGTGGATAATGATAGGAAAACACAAGAGGATTAGTGGAAGAACACGGAACATAGGCACTCCGTAAAGTGCGGCAGGCAAGAGAGCTATAAAGGCCTCATCTGAATCGCAGCACAGGATTAGAGTGTTCACCCATATTCAGTATCCACTAGCTTTTGTTATAGGTCAATCCACCAATATAAAGTAGCTGAATTAGTAAAATTGTAAATAATTTTGCAGGGGAGCAAATTGACTAATTCTTGGTAAGGGGATAGTATTAATTTACATTCAGTCAGTAACTAAACATTGCACATATAATACCTACTTATTTGTACCAAATGTAGAGGATATGCTTTTTCATTAGAAACATCTGCAGTATAGCTTTAAAATATTGTGTGGTATATCCATTTTTGCAGATGTATAATTTAAGAATGTCAATAAAACAGGCTGATGACTTTAAAATGACACCTACACATTGTAAATAATTGTATATTTTCTCCGGGATTTGTGCAGAGGGTACTGAAGAGTATTTTAATTAGGTATTCTTCCAATCAAATATGAAATGTCCTGTTTAATGATCTATCATAATTGGAATGCTGTGTTGATTTCCAAGTGAGCTTCTGTTTTTGCCTTCAAATGTGAGATTATAAATTAAAGGCCTGTAAAAAAGCAGTATCATTTAACAGTCTGGAAACTTCTGCTTTATAATCTGTGTAAATCTGTGTAACTATCCCAGCCTCTTTATATATGACTTTTACAGCTACATTTCTATTGCTAGCAAAGCCTTCAGACTGGGTTTTTCCCCTTTAGAAGAATAATCAAGAGTTCTCTTTACTGGGCCTTTAAATCGCTGATTTGGGGTGAATATTCCCAGGATTCTTTATAGCAAGGATTCCCAACTGTGCTCCCACAAGAGGTGCTGAAGTGTGCCCATGGTGAGAAATGACCCTGGATCCCTGACGCAGGAAGTCTCAGGTCTCTAGCATCTCCCGCATCTCTGGGACGGGCTGGGGAAATTCCTGCCACCCCAGACAGCTTCTGCCAGTCATAGTTAACAGTACTGTGCTACATGGACCTGTGGGATGACCGCATATACCTCAGCTTCCTGTGCAACTAGGAATCCACTCTTCTGTGGCTGTTGGTGCAGGTGTCCTGTGTAGGCATGGCTAGGAGCCATGGGCCGCACTCCAGCTTCCTGAACTTGCTCCTCCTCTTCACCATGACATCCACTTCTTTGCCTGCCTTTCGCTATGGGCCAGACAGCGGTGGTGATGAGACGGAGGAGCAGTAGCTGCCAGTGCCTGCTTGCTTACGGGCCTTCCGCCTGTCAAGTAAGTAGGTGAGGCGAAAGAGGAGGAGGATTAAGAGCAGCTGGTGGAAGGAGGATTTCATTAAAGGGTCTTCCCTAAGAGCCCTCAGAACTCTGGAACTGGCACTGGGAGACTCCATTCTACAAGTGGGTCTAGAGATACCTGGCTGCCTGATCATTGGAAGTCATGGAGGACGGTGTTGACCCAGTCTCTGCAGGCTCCTTGAGATGGTTCTTTTGGGTGGCTTCTGTGGTTCAAGGTTCCCTTCTAACAGTCAAGAGATGCCCACAAAGCCTGGTCCCAGTCCTGAGCCCAGCCACAGATTCTGTAGGAAGCAAAAGAGCTGGGAAGCAACATGCCTTGGCTGATCTCAGAATTTCAAGGCGCATGCCTGCCTATTAGCTGGAGTGTATTGAATACATATGCTTTTAAAAAGTGGAGTAAAGAAGGTCTGAATTCAAAAATAAAGTAACATCATCATCATCAACAACGACAACAGCTGTGCTCAAGATACCAGAAATCTGGAAAACAAATGTGATATGGTATTGATTAACTGATTCTTCTGAAGATGTTCCAAATGGGTGGTTCTAACTTTCAACTGTTTGCAATAATGAACATTCCTTCCTTCCTTGAACTCCTCCCGTGAATGCAGGCCATGTAAGGTCTTCCTTCCACCCTCCTTAAAAGGAACATCCCACGGCCCTCCACTCTTCAGCATTTGTTTGCCCAATTTCCTCTCACCCACATATATCAGGATATAGCTATGTAAAAATCTAGACCTGGTAATTTCATCAAACTAACTGTCAAGCTGCCAAGCTGTTGCTCACAAGAGCCTCTGTCGCAGGAACGTACCCAGGCACGGGTTGAGTCATCTGGTCATCTGGGCTGCAGAGGGAGATTGGGTCTCACGGCAGCCAAAGGCTTCCTCCCTTGGACTATTCTGTGTATAAACAATGGCCGGAGAGTCAGCTGCAGTAACAACTGTGCTAACCGTTCCCATGGACAAACTCCCTTTATCCCATGGCACGGTTGGTGCTCCAGAGGCTGAACTGCCACTGAGCCCCTCCTGGCAAGAGTTGCAGCGCTTTTGCTAGCTGAAGGTGCGAAGGCCTTATCTTCTTAGAAAAAACTAATGTCCCTTGGCCATCCATACATTTGTTTTGGGGATCATCATAGGATGGGATCAGAGAAACTACCAGTGAAGAAAAAGCACCATTTCCTTCTGATGTCATCATAGAGGCCCAGACACCAAAAGGTCATTTAAAAAAAATGGGAAAACTGTTGCAAAATCTGAATGTTAGGTTTGTACTGTGGTATCCAGGTTTTTTTTTTTAATGCTCATTGTAATCATAAAATGTAATTCCTGCCAGACATCTGGAACACAGTGATGCACTGAGTGATATTCAAAGAATGATAAACATGCAGAGTTTGGGAGTTGTGTGTGTCATGAAAGAGAGTAAAAGTATTGGATTAATTATTCGATGTTTTTACACAGCAGATTGAGAAATTTGGGAGGGTGCTCCCCCCAAATTAAAAAATATGAAATCAGTGCAAAATCTAATTATATCACAGGAGATCTGTATCACAGATTGACAGCTGTGAGTTGTAAGATCTATGCGGTTTATCTTTGTGCACAAGTGTTGCTATTTGGAAGGTATACATTTATAAGCAATAAATGGAATTAGGAGACCTTAAACGATTTCTGTTTTGGCTGAATTAATGAGATCTTCTTTTGGCATAAATTAATTGGGTTGATGTAAACATGTATAGGGGCAGATCCATATATATGGGGGCACCCAGAGCAGGGAACAGTGACAACAGGAAGGGTGTCTGGTTTGGATAAACAAAAAGTAGTCCATCAAAACCAAGTCATATGTTGGCATACAAAATTCAGCCTCTCTCCTCAAAGACCCCATTGTGAAATGTTATACCATTAAGCAACTATAGATGCCTTGGTCATTTTTGGTACTAGGTTATTCAGCAAGTAGTTAATGGAGTATTCTCTTTTACAATATTGTTCTGGTGCCATGAGCTTCTGCTCCTCATGAAGAACACGGGGCAAAGGAAAGATTGAGAGGTTGATGCAGATTAAGTGGCAGGCAGCAATACAGAATCAAATTTCCCTGAGATCCGAAATGTTTCCAAAGGCTAGTCCCCAGATTTCCATAATCTCATGCTTTGCCAGCCTCCAACCCTGCCCTGCTTCCTCTCCGTTTTTATTCCAAACTGCAGCCACAGTTGAGCAGCCCCACCACATATGGAAAACTGTGCGAAGTTCTGCTTAATCAACAAGCTGCATGACCATGTGTAGCATATGCAGAATCTAATAAAGTGCTTGTTTTGTTTTATCTTCTGGCTAGATGTCAGAATAAATAGCAAACTTCAAGACTGTTCAAAGAAAAGTGGCACCAAAATGAAAACAAGGTTGGCACCAGGCAAATTTCTTTGAGAAGCCTGGTCTGTAGTTGAGGGGCAGCCACTGAGAAGCCCCTTCTTCTATTTACCTTCTCTTTTATCTCCTTGAAAGACAGCTCTTTTAGAAGAACCTCCTGCCCAGGTCTTAATGGGCAGGTAGGTCTATATGGGAGCAGACAATCCTTTCGGTAGCCAGGTCTTAAGCCCTAGACAGGTGCTGCCCTAACATTTAGAGAGGCATCTAAGTAACTTAAAGTATTTGGCATGGTATAGTAGGTAAGCTAATGAGCCCTGAGGCAGAAACTTCTGTGTTTGATTTTCACTTCAGCCATGAGTCTATTACGCAGACTGATCGGCCTTTCCCTATTTTGTAATATTGAGATAATAATATACCTCTCAGGGTTGTGGTAAAGATTACTAGGACGAAGTATACGAAGCGCTTTGAACAAAGTGCTACAGAAATGCTAAATATTATAACAACTGGAATTAATTTTCTCAGAAGCGTGTACACACACACACACACGCACACACACAGTGAACAGACAACAGAGAGAGAGAGAGAGATTCCAGCTCTACGAATGCAGCTGTCCTTTAAAGAAAAACCCTTCTTATCACTGCTGTACATGTAAAATTCTGTCTTTGCAATGATTTATTTTAATTGTACTCAGCGTCAACACAGAAATGGGTCTTGTGTTAATAATGTAGGGTAGACCAAAGGAAATAAACGATCTGATATTATTTTATACAAACAATACAGCACACTCCAATGGGGTTGGTGGGAGGTTTTCTAATGTCTATATAATTGTGGCTTGAAGCATAGAAGTCTCTCTCTAAAACCAAGCCACAGGGCAAAGAGTCATCTAATAAGAATAAATCTTATTGAGGCTGATTTTTGTCGTATCTAAATCACACAGCGAACAGACATCCTCTTTTGAGATAAGGCAGCACAACGTCGGATCACGGGGCATTATAATGAAGGAGCAGGATGCTTTCCCCAGCTCAACCGCTTCCTGAAGATGTAGTAATTTCCCTTTACAACAAAGGGGCTCTGCTACTTGCTTAAATGAAGTCTGACCTGGCAGATTTCCCCCCACGAAGATAACAGGGGGGCTGGGGAGGAATACTGGAAACTAATGGAAGCTGCTCTCCTAAAATTCCAGTAATGGAAGCTGACAACTTGTTGGACAAAATGCATGAAGATGATCAATGAAAAACAAAAGAGAATAGTAAAAAAAGTGATTCCATTGCCAATGAAATAAACAAAAAAACAAAACAAATCTTTAATTCAGGTGAATAATGGGGCCCTCCAGAGCTTTTAGAAGACAGGTCTTTTCAGACCCAGGCAGTATGGCCAATGGTCAGGGATTACTGGACTTGTGACTCCAAAAATCTGGAAGGTACCAGTTGCCTACACTTGAGTTACCATCTGGATACAAAGAACTACACCAATTCTACAAGCTGCAGGGATTTGGGGATTGTTCTTAGTAGCATTCTTCCCTCTGCTCATGAAACCCTTTAGAAGCTCAGGAGACATTCAACGCTTTTGAACTAACAGTTGTATGGCAGGGAGATGTTGTGCAAAACAATATCCAACCGGGTATGCCTGAAGTAGGACTTCAGATTCTGGCATATGGATCTTAAGATACGTCTTTAAAGTGTGTAGGCTGGAATAAAATGCTGTCAGTTACTCCCAAGTCCTTCCAGCAGAATGGATTTCTCATGCTGGGGTATGCTTCTGCTACTTGTACACAATCATACAACTTCAGGTTAACACAGATATTATGCAAGTATGTGTCTGGAAGCTACAGCTGCTGCTGCTGCTTCTTTTGTACTGTAGAATAGGCACAGGGGCCCTTATCCAAATAGGACACCTGCCTGTGGAAGGCAGGGGAACTTTTAAGATTTTCATCAAGTCCCATCACCTACTCTAGAGTAAAAAGCAAAAAAGAAAGCATCACAGCTAGGCACTCATTTAAAGAAGTCTCTGTTTTCGCCCTTAGGATGGCCATTTATGCACCCCACCCCCAAAGAAGGAGGTGGTGGAGGAGGAGGACACAGATTTTCATTCGTGAATTTATGTGCATAGCTGTACATTTAGAATTATTAAAATTTAAATAGAAATATATTTCATAGAGAAGGGAAGGCTGAGACCATGGAACCTTTGTACCTGCTTGGTTTCCTGCCCTGGTGCTAATTGCTGCGGAGAACTGCAGGATCCCCACCCACCCTTGCTTCTTATTGCAGATCCTAACTTTAAATTAGGCTTGAGAAGATGCTTTAAAAAGAGGGAGTCCTCTGGCAGCTCTCCAAATAGCATTGCCCTCTGTAAAGCAGGAGACTGGGGAACCTGAATACTACACATGACAGCTGGGCATTTGGGAGCGTGCTCTTGTCTGATATATTTTAAAATCCATATTGCTGCAATTCCAGTACAGTATTAATCCGTTCCACGACTCTGGCTGTGACCCAAATTGGTTGTGACCCAAGTCAAATTTCCCCATAAGGTTCAATGTAAATAAGGTTAATGCGTTCTGTAACCATTTTTTTAATCACAAAAATTTGAAACAAAGTGGCAAAGAACAAAAAAGTAACAAAGAACAACAAAGATTGCGGCCATCTCCCCCCCCCCCCCCCAGATGATCGCGGCCATCTCCCCCACCCGCAGCATGACCACTATCGCACCTGTCTTCCCTGTCCGAGCACAACTGCAATCGCAGCCATAGACAGGTGCGATCACGGTCACACTCAGGCAGGGAAGACGGGCACGATCACAGCCATCTCCCCACCCCACCGCAAGTACAATTGCGGCCTTCTCCCTCCCCCCCGCCCCATGCATGACTTGCTATTGAAGACACGGCACCTGGATGATCGTAGTCTTGAGATAGAGGAATGGTCTGCATCCACACAAGGCCCTAGCAGATCATGTGATGGTTTCAGATTTTACCTGGAACTGTTGGAGCTCATGTGAACATTGCTGGGGGCAAGAAAAGTGGACTCTCCTCCATTTTTGAAAATCTAAAATCTAGCTTATTATTCAAAATTGTCTCCATCATGGACAATGAGCAGTGGGTCCATTCCTTAGGGAAAACAAACTTTTCTGCTTGGTTTATATCATTTTATGTCATTCATTCATACTCATTCTTCTTTCATTGTGCAACTTCTCATGCTTGAAATTTCAGCTTTGCAGTAGGAATCTCAGAATAGGAATGAAGCTATCAAATTGGAGAAGAATTGAAAAAGCTGGAAGTGGAGAGCTACATATGTGTGCCACAGGTGGCCTGGAGAATAAGGACAAGTGGGAGCAGGAGAAGTTGAGGAGTCTGAATGGACTAGGTCAGGAAAGCATAGAAAAGTGAGGTGCACCGAAGAGAAACAAGAAGGTCTGCCAGGAAAGTGTTGTTGCAGAGGTAATTTGGTCAACTTGTTTGTTTCAGAAATGAACAATATCTTTTAATCTTCCAATATTTTTAGATTTAAAAAAAATATTTTAAAGAAACTGACACTTGAGTAATTAAGTATGTAGCTCATTAGATTTCAGGAGCTGGCCAACAATTAGATAGGTTAGCATACAACCTGCAAAACAATGGAAAAAAGAGGGTTGTTCCAAGCCCATGAGAGAAGAACTATGAACTATTCCTCAAATCATGGCATCACATATATTCTTGCCTTGCATACCTGACGCCATGTTACTGATGTTCTTGTTCACAGAATCATGCAATCTCTCACAAGATCGAGTCATGTCAGTAGCGCACACCTGACTGAGATTTCAATACGATGCTATGCCCATTCTTGGGCACTTCTGCATAGCCCTGCAAGAGTTTGTGTACTTTCCGCTTACCCAATCTGTATGATGACACGATTACTACGATTAAATACTCCATTCATAAAGCATTTATCCACTTCATAATGAACGCTTTCTCTTCTTCACAGTATCACTGAAAGGCAGGTGTGTTTCATTCCCTCTTTACACATAGGAATTTGTGACCTGATTCAGACATACAAATGGCAGAATGGGGGCCATCGCATAGAGGCCGCAACATGTGGCAAATGGCAACTTTACTCCAGCCTTCTCCAACCTGATGCCTTCCAGATATTTTGAATCCAGGATTCCTAACCACTGGCTGAAGTCCAAAACACTTGGAGGGCACCAGATGGGGGAAGGCTGGTTTATGCCATTGTAAACCTGTTTTGTACTCTGCAATGTGGTGGTGAACATTGCTAGGACCAAGCAGAGATCCTTTCCATATGCAAACATGTCTGTGCTTAATAGCCCTTGGAGAA